GTGTCTGTGTCTGTGTCTGTGTCTGTGTCTGTGTCTGTGTCTGTGTCTGTGTCTGTCTGTGTCTGTGTGTCTGTGTCTGTGTCTGTGTCTGTGTCTGTGTCTGTGTCTGTGTCTGTGTCTGTGTCTGTGTCTGTGTCTGTGTCTGTGTCTGTGTCTGTGTCTGTGTCTGTGTCTGTGTCTGTGTCTGTGTCTGTGTCTGTGTCTGTGTCTGTGTCTGTGTCTGTGTCTGTGTCTGTGTCTGTGTCTGTGTCTGTGTCTGTGTCTGTGTCTGTGTCTGTGTCTGTGTCTGTGTCTGTGTCTGTGTCTGTGTCTGTGTCTGTGTCTGTGTCTGTGTCTGTGTCTGTGTCTGTGTCTGTCTGTGTCTGTGTCTGTGTCTGTGTCTGTGTCTGTGTCTGTGTCTGTGTCTGTGTCTGTGTCTGTGTCTGTGTCTGTGTCTGTGTCTGTGTCTGTGTCTGTGTCTGTGTCTGTGTCTGTGTCTGTGTCTGTGTCTGTGTCTGTGTCTGTGTCTGTGTCTGTGTCTGTGTCTGTGTCTGTGTCTGTGTCTGTGTCTGTGTCTGTGTCTGTGTCTGTGTCTGTGTGTCTGTGTCTGTGTCTGTGTCTGTGTCTGTGTCTGTGTCTGTGTCTGTGTCTGTGTCTGTGTCTGTGTCTGTGTCTGTGTCTGTGTCTGTGTCTGTGTCTGTGTCTGTGTCTGTGTCTGTGTCTGTGTCTGTGTGTCTGTGTCTGTGTCTGTGTCTGTGTCTGTGTCTGTGTCTGTGTCTGTGTCTGTGTCTGTGTCTGTGTCTGTGTCTGTGTGTGTGTGTGGGATCCTTCCTTACATCCTGACGTTCACTGCGAGGCAACGAGGCAACGTGGAAATCATGACAGGTCCTTCTGCTGGGCGGCGGCTATCTGAGTGAAGCAAGCCCGTCACACGTCGCGTCGCGAATCCGGGGTCTAAGATGCCAACGCACCGTCCCATGCACGGGGATCAAAGCTCTGGAAGCCCAAACTTGCGGCGAGCTTCCTCCAAAACACGGCGGACCTTTTGCAACCAGAGTGGAAGGAAGCGAGATGCCAATGCCGAAATGGTTCAAGCGGAAAAAGGCTCACTGGGCCAGTGACCAGCCCAAAATAATGTAAACTTTTTTGGGCACTACAATAAAGGGAGAGCCATTCAAATGGGCGCAAGGGTTGCATGCTGCAATGCTCAAGGTGCCAGCCCAGTCCTTGGTCGCGGTGATGAGGGTTGCCTTGCAGTTTCGAATTGGCACGCACGTCACCTGCGCCGTGCCAAGTTGCCTATCCGGCCGCCCGCGGCACCCATGGTGAGTGACACTGGAAAAAATGTCTTGTTACGCACCCCTCCTATGCATAGTGGCTCGACGTTTTTTTGAGACGGCACCCCTTTCTTGGTGGTGTTAAAGGGAAACCAACAGGAAAATCAAAGCCTTGTTTGAAGGTCCCTTTACAAAAAGACAAAACCATATTGTTCGTTGTTGTTTGCTTCTGCTTCTTCCTCTTTTTTTCTTTTGGGGGGAGGGAACAAAAAGGACAAACTCAATGTTGTTGCCTATCCCGAGTCGCTTCTTTTTTCTGGCTTTACCAGCGGCACTAAAATGAACGTTGGCTTGACCTCGTAGGAGCGTCTGATTCATGAGACCTTCATGGGAAAGGAACTCGAGCCGTATTTCTGCGCCCAGCGAGTCGCGAATTGAATGAGCAGCGCAAATGCATCGTGCTCCACCAAATTTCGGTTAGGGCAGCGGCCCGCTCACATGCACTTTTCTCCGACGGACGCTGGTATATGATGCGTGCCCTTTGAGCGCCAGTCAAGAAACGCAAATGACCAGGCTATGCTAGGCTACCATTTGCACACAACCCAGTACACGACCAGAGACCACGGCGAGACCGGTTTTCAAGAAAGGCGCCCGACTAAGCCAAAGACATCGGGTCGATCGCAGGTTTCACTCCATGCGTGGCATGCGAGGACTTGTTCCTGAAATCTGTGCCTCCCACCACATTTGTCTGAGGCACGCCCTTCGTTTGGGCGAAGGACCGCAAAATCCGGCGGTCCGCGGATTCTTCCAGCAGCGTTTTTGAACTGGTGAATGTCTCGCTGCCCCGGCAAGTAGCAAAAGCCTGCGCAGCAAGCAGGACGCCCTTTTGGGTCCTTTCAACGCATGCACATCTCATGACACGTTTGGCCAGTGGCTCCATCCAGAAACCCTATAACAAAAAGGCACGCTTCAGCACGAGCCAAACGTACCTGCCGTTGCCACTTCGCGCTTCCGACTGCCTGTGCCTTTTACATGGGGCCATTTAGTCACTACGCTTCCCTGCAGAATTGCGAACAAGGGTACTTCGTTTTTCAAGGGACCCCGCAATATGGTTGGTTGTCTGTTGGCTTCCCTTTAAAACAAACAGAAGGGGACACCCTCATACAAAACACCCCCACAAGGTACTTAGACTTGTGGATCTGATGCGTCCCGAGGACAACCCTTGATTGTTGTTCATGGCTGAAGCTTTCTCACGGTCTTGGCCCGAGGACGCACCACGCGAAGCTGCATTAATTTAGCTCAACTGAAAGTGCAACGTCGTGCACTGCGGCGCGGATATTAAATGATGATGTAAAGCATCCGCACGATGGTCACATCGGACCTTCAATCTGCCACGGAGTCAGCTCATCTGGTCCTGAGCGCGGTTTCTCCTCGTCCGTGTCACGGCTTGAAGCTTCGACGGCATTCTTGGGCCCCCACAAGTCGCAATTCACAAGTTGCATCTTCTCATTGAGGTCGTGTTGGATTGCCTCACTCCAATGCACATCCAAACTTGAAACACACAGCTGAGCATCGCCTGGAAACCTCTCGCATGTTTGCGAATATTAATGCATTTTTCACCCCCCCCCCCCCCTTCCGTTGCTTTCGCGGGCATGCTTCTGTTCCAACATGCTACAACGATTTCCACCAGCTCCCGTAGGCCTTCTTGATTGCCTTTGCTTTCGCGGGTTTCCGAAGTGCTGCTTTGCGCCCTTTGTGTGTACTTTCACGCGAACCTTCCCCTTCGAGCGTGCGGCAAAAATGGGGGAAAAAAAAGCAAACCTTCCGAGATCCCTGATTGCCTCTCTTTGAAACGACTGGGACTTCGATTCCGGAGTCCGCGCCTCCAGCACGTCATCCACCGGGAGCCAGGAAGCAGCCATGGCATCTCCAAGCCTCAGACTCCAATCCAGCGAGCGGAAGCTAAGAACCCTATCAGCTTCCCTCTGGTTGGTGTTAAGGAGAGGTTTCCCATCTACCCTCTGCATAAGAATTGATTTTTTTCCACAGATTCGTTCGATTGGCAAGAGCATAGTTGGATCGCCTGTAAGTTCTTGCTTGTACAGCGGCTGCGCCCACAGAAGGGCTCTTGATTGGCAGTCCTCAATCTTGGGACTTTTCTCCTGTCTAGGGTCAGGTAACCCTTCGTTGGGAAGGTGCCCAGGTCCGGCTATTTCCCTGAGAGCGCTCACTTTGCTTGGTCACCTGGTCACTTGGTCACTTGGCTTTTGACGCCCGCAACTCGAGAGCCGCAGCGCTTCATCTCTGAAGATTCGAAGTGTAAATGCTTTCTCGCTGCTGTCCCAGTCCCTGCCCAATGCCAAAACATGTTGTAGCAATTTCAGCAAATTTTGCTTGGACGTCCGAAGTTGCTTCATGTCGGCCGCGGACCACTCAGCGAGATGGAGCAAACGGTTAAGATGCCAACAGCCAGTGTGCAACCAAGCGCCTCCATCAAACTGTCCGAATGTCTTCCGTCGCCAACCCGTCCCTGGCATCTGCCTGTTCAGGCGTCAAAGAATATACACCAAACAATTCCTGATTCACTGACAGAAACCCTGCCTAGACTACTTGTTTGCAACACACAGCTCCTAAAAAAACGCCTCGCCAGAGCACAAGTCGAATACTGCCCAAACATTGACCTTTTGCCAAAGCACCGATACTAGGTCCTCCAGTAGAGAGGTTAGAACAAGGGTACGCTTTTTCACCCTAAATGCGATCGCGTGATCCCCTTGGGCCAGCGCTGATTCACGGCGATGGTGTCGCACTTCACCTTCGAAAGCGCGGGTCGATCAACTTAGAAAAGCGCAAGCTGTTTGCCGACACTAGCCATGGACATGGCCTTAGAATCAGCCAGCTTCTACAACAGGTCTGCGGTCAGAGACATCTTCGATGGAAACTGCACGGATGTCCTTTTGGCGATAGGCTTGTCTCGTCAACTGTGCCAAGAGCGAAAACGTGGATATCCAAGAGCCTGTCCTTTCCAATCCATTATGGTTTGTTTTGCTTGTCGGCTTGCAATGTTTCGTGGAGATGAGTGGTTGCATGTGCTGCGGCCTCACGCAAAACAAGACCAGTGCGCATGTTGGAAGTCAAAGGCACAATGTGCTGTTGAGCAATGGGGAATCTTGGCATTCGCTTTGCTTGATCTTTGCGGAAGACTGCAAAAGACTGTATAGGCACAACCGGTCTGAAGTGCCTCTCACTGGGCAAGCTGGTTCCCTTCTGCCGGCTGGCTCAGGCCCTGTGTGACTGCAGGAAGCATCCTTCTCACGAATGGGGCGGTCTAAGCCAATGTGTGCACTTCGTGCTTGAACTTCAGTAGGGTGCATGTGTTCTCAAACGAGTGGGTAACATAATTCAGGACACCCCACATAGAAACTTGTGCTTTCCCCCCCCCCGGGATCCTGAAAATGTTGCTGTTCGTCTACAGGCAAGTGATCCCCAAAGCCCTCCCACGGTTTTGCGCCGGACCCTTGAACACATGAACGCTACTTGTCTCTGTTCCCCGAAGGAAAAAAACACGCCCCGGTGAATAGTTAAACTGCACAGCCTTCAAAGCAAGCATGCAATGTCTCAAAAGCACACAGACCAGATTTGGCGGAAAGCATTGCGTACATCATTTCTTAAGAAGTAGGACATGCATTGCTCGACTCCTTGCTTCCAGATTGCCACGCCACCCCCAGTTTGGCACTACCAGCTTTACTATCAAATTTGCATGCCACAAAATGATAGAAGTGCAGATGACCTGAGTCTGTGAATCAGACCCCAAAAAGAAGAAACAAGGGGGTTACCATTCCAAAGAGAGAAAACGACCTTGCCATGATACAATGCGCACTTCCTGCAGATCCCTGTTTCTAGTCATTCTATGTACCGTGCAACAAGTTAAGGGACGGGCCCTTGCGTGACGAAAAGGCGCCCTTTTGTTGGCGCTTGGCCCAGCTTGACGCAGCTAAGGTAATGCCTTAGGGAATCTTGAATCATCTTGAATCAATTCCACTTTGTCTAGGTCAAGTTGTACCACTTGTCACACAAGCATGGCCAAAGCCCGGCAAGTCGCGTGCCCAACAGTGACCCGCATCCATGCCTGCAGGCTATCCTTGCGCTCCTTTTCCTTAATCGTCTCGCTGCTTCTGCTTTGCCCCTGGCAGTCAGCCAAAGCCCCTGACCTCCCAGCCCAAGAGAAGCCGTTTTCGGCAGGCCGTAGAGCAACCCGTATTGAACAGAAAAAAAAAAAAAAAAACGTGTGACTCGCTGGCTTGTCTCCGAAAGAATATTGGGGACGGCCTTGAAGAGGTTGCCCCAGGTGGCCGGGTCCAGGACTGCAGATTCAGCGTCGACCGCTTGTCACCCGAGAGTGGCGGCCTATGCTCGCCGCTGAGTCCGTGGCAGTCCGCCGGTCGACCTGAGCAAATGTTTGTTTAAACTGAACCTCGGAAAATCTTCCAGAGGACCGTCATCAAGTAGGGTCTCGAAGTGGGGTTCTGGCTGGAGTCCCTGCATATATTGGCTATGGGTCAAAACCCTGGTTCCCCGTCAACACCCAGAAAGCCTTCTAAAAAGACAACAGTGGAGTAACCATCCCCAAAAAGGCACCTTAGGTCTTGACCCACAACTATACAAAAAGTTAGCATTCGCCCAAGTCGTTGCTTGATCTACGGCCAAGTTGACGCTGTCGACTTGGCTGTGGGTGAAAAAATACGTAACCAAAATGGAATCCTGGTGAATGGAAACATGGACCAAAACCTGCGGTCCCCTGGTGGTTGAATTTTGACCCATACCCACTTGGCGCCAAGCTCGTTTGGGGATCTTCCGTCCCGGTCCCGTTCGATCCGTTGGAGTTCTGTTTGGTCACCTGGACTCGGCGCAGCTATGGGCGGCCCAGTCCAAACACCAGCCCGTCAGCCGAGCCTGTGTCCGTCGAGTGTAAATCTCATTTCTGATCACCTCAGGCTCAGGCAAGCGAGCAAGCAAGCAAAAGCAAGCAAGCAAGCAAACCGTTTTTTCTCCGAAAGTCAATGCGCGGCAGTGCTGAATGCAAATCCGAAGGCCCGCGCCGAAGAGATCTTCACGTGCAGGACATACCTGGTGTCAACCGGTTTCGACGGGCGAAGGACAAACAAAACAAAAGTCAAACCGGCTCCTTTGCCGATCCCCTTTCCCACACTCCCTCCAGAGAGGTTCGCAACCGGTCCAGAAATGTTCGGGCCGTGTTCGGACGCATGGGACCAAAGGCCGCCGGACGCCAAACACCAAATGATTTGGTCTGAATGATGGAACTCGGTTGATGGAGTGGTCAGAGTAATGGGCGATGTTGTTTAGGACGGAGAAGCTTTCTGAGACAGGCACCCCCGCAAGAAATTAACATGAAAGCCACCGCAGCGCCCGCCTGCCTTATGCAGAATTTGTTGAATTGAAAACACGGCCTCTCTATAGGTCTGCCCACTCTTTAGAACCTTTTGACAACTCCTATAGCCTGTAGCAGAACTCCTGTTGAAAGAGGTCCCGCGCAAGATCTCTGACATTTCACCAATGTTTCCGTAGAAAGCTCGGGGAAAGATATCCCTGTCAAATTGAAGCTGTCCGTCACAGTCAGAATCTCTACAGGATCTTTTCGAGGAAAACCTTTGCAGAAGCTGCGCAGACCTCTTGCGAGGATCTCTCTAAAGGACCAGCCCAAGATATGTTTGAGAGGACGCTTAGTGGATCTCTGCGCAAGAAATCAAATGATAAAATTTCGCACTGAAGATCTGCGCAGGATCCATGAGGGGATCCTTTGTTATTATACAAGTTCTGTGTTGGGGATGTGTACAGAGCATTTGCTACAAGACTCCATGAAAGACAAGCGCAGGGTATTGTTGGGAAGATCTGTACGGGATCTTTATCTGCGGCCTCTACAAGATCTGAAGGGAGCACCCTCCGGAAGATCTCTCGAACATGAACCATGCGAGCGGGCAAATTCGGCCCACAAAACAAGACCATGTGATTTGGGTGATTTGGCAAACTCGGCAGCAAAACAACGTTTTCCGCAAATGGGCCATTTGATTTGGCAAGTTCGGCTTCGCGTAGGTAAGTTGGGTCTTTTGAAGAACGTAACTAAACCCCAGAACAAAAAATCGCACGGGCGCACTTTGCTAAGTTGAGGAAAAAAGTGAGGGGATCGCGCGTCATCTTCGGCGGCGCGTTCAAGGCAAAGGCGTAGAAGGCAAACCCAAACCAGCCCCTTGTCCCAAGGTTGCAAACGAAAAGAAAGACTTTGTTGCTTAGCGTGTGATGCGTGTGCTTTTGGATTTTCTCACGGAGGCTTTCTCGCCGATCCCCGCACAGGGGCGCGCAGGCAACGCCCGCTAAGTAGTAAGAGAATTGCACATAGACCACGCCGATCCCCGCACTTAAAGGCTATATACAATCTCTCACGCAAGTTTTGTCAATGAGCAACAGACAGACAAATTACAACCAGTTTGGTCAAGCAGGTGCTTTCAAAGCTGCAGCCCGTACTGCAAATTTTGGACTCGAAAAAGATGCCTTCACAAGGCGCTTAGGGGTCCCAGTTCCGGCCGGACACTATTTAGAACCTCTGGTCGCGCTTCACGGGCAACTATAATTTTGGTTAGCTTGTCTTGCTACCGCGCGCAGAGTTTGCTGCAGCTCCTCCAATTTCACGCGGAAAGAGAAAATACCGTCCACTGGATGCCTCCAAACATTCAGTTGCCAAGCTCATCCATCTAGCACCAGATTTGTTTGAAACCTTGTGCAGCCCCAAGCTACCCGAAACCTTTACTTCGCTCTAGCTGCTAAGCAAATTAATTCTCCATGATTCTCCTCGGAATATCCGCCGCCTCAGCGGCCCCCCCCCCCCCCCACGATTGGCTGAGACCACCAACTGCTCTTCATTCTTGCAAACCCGCCTGGACTCATCTCTTTCAGCTGCCGCAATTCTTGCTTTGAGCGTGGAGCTAATGGGCCCCTGGGCGGCCTGGCCAGGCATCAACACGGCCAAGTCCCTGAGAACCATTTGCTTGCATAGCTGGCGAAAAACCCGAGCCAAAAAAAAAGAAGACTCCTGCAACCGGCACACCCGGCAAACCAGCACACAACTTGCAACGGCTCAAAAGCCTGCCCACAAGAACCCAGGACCAGGAGTGGAGTGGAGGGGAGGCGGAGCATAGGCGAGGGGAGGAGGGGGGAGTGGGCTATAGTGGAGTTCAGCGGAGAGGGGTGGAGAGTGGAGTGGAGTGGAGCAATGGGGCGCGCGCCTGCGGACCTGCGCGGGCGCGTGCGCAAATAGGTGAGCAAGCGCAGCATCCACAAGTCTAAGGCGCCACGCAAACAGGCTGGCGATCGCTCTGCGCAGACCCGTCTACTAGGAGGTCAGAAGCGCATGAGTCGCGTGTGCGCGAAACACACTCACCGCTCCATTTCCAATGGGATTTGCAAAAGCCGTCTTCGTGGCCTCAGGAAAAACCAGTTGGCCTGAGCAACTTTCTTGACGCATGAAAGAAACTTATATGGCATTTTGCTGCGCCTTGTTCTGACGAAAGCTCCACCTCAGCAGTCTTAATTTGAAAGTCGTCGATCCAGCGCTGCCCGTGAACCCTAGTGGGGCAGGGGCAACCCCAAAAACACGAATAGGCTTTTAATGATTGCACTTGCGCCGTGGATGTCGGCAAGGCCGCTAAACCCTGGGTCTCACACCTTTATCCCCCACCCGGCCTTGACCGCTCTTGTGCTTTCCCTGAAATGTTCCCATTTTACAAACCTATGGCTCGGGAATGTTTCACAAAAGGCGTACCTGTGGGTTGCTCAGGATTAAGAACTTTTAAAGTGACATGCCCGCTCCTGGGACGCCTTTTTGTCTTTCTCAAAAACACTGCGCGTCCAGGGGCCTTCACCGGCATCCTCAAAGTGGAGAAACACCGCTACTTTCCAGACCTATGCTGTGAAGCAAGGCAACCAAGGACACGAAGTTGCTGTGGACTGCCACTGCCAGCCATACGAAGAAGAGCTGGCGGCAGGCCTTAACAAACTAGTCTTACGCGGTCTCCGCAACACGGGGTGCGCGTTCACAATCCGTCATGAACGCAGCCCTCCCCCTCCACCCTGCGCGATGCCCAGTGACTCTAGCAAATGGTCTCTCTGCAAAAATGCAAGCCGTGCGCAGGCGACCTGTGACATTACCAGCTACTAGGAGCCCACCTGCAACACAAAACAACATCGGCGCGCACAAAGCACTGCGCCTGCCTCACACGCAAAACGCAAACTAATCTAAAGTACTGCGCTTGCCACGCAAAGCGCATCGGCGTGCACAGCGTACTAAGCCTGTCACCCGAAACAGTATCAGCATGCACAAAGCACCGCGCCTGCCACGAAAACAGAAATGCGCCTGTAAGTTAGGGAGCGTAAGTTGAGTGAGCGAGAGCGAGTACGTGTCAGCAGAGTGAGTGAGAGTGAGAGTGGTTGAAAGACAGTGAGTGTAAGTTGTGTAAGTGAGAGTACGTCTGCGTAACTCAGCGAAAGTTGAGTGAGACGTGAGAGTACAACGTATGTGTAAGTTGGGGGGTGAAAGTCAAGTGAGCGAGAGTGACAGTGGTTGAAAGTCAGTGAGCGTACGTTGTGTGATTGAGAGTGCGTGTGACTCGGTGATAGTTGAGTGAGTGGTGAGAGTACGTATGAGTCAACTAGGGAGCGTAAGTTGAGTGAGCGAGAGTAAGTACGTGTCAACGGAGTGAGAGTGAGTGGTTGAAAGTCAGTGGCGGTAAGTCGTGTGAGTGAGAGCGAGTATGCGTAACTCAGCGAGAGAGTAAAAGCTGAGCAAGCGAGCGTAAGTACGTGACAATGGCGTAGGTGAGAGTGAGAGTGGTTGAAATTCAGTGTGTAAGTTGTGTGATTGAGAGTTTTTGTAGTTCAAAGTCACGGGGTGTAAGCTAACTGAGCGTGAGCGAGAGCTAAGAGAGCAAGAGTAAGTTTGTGTCAATGGAGCGAGTGAGAGTCAGAGTCGTTGTATGTCAGTGAGTGTGTAAGCTACGCGCGCGTGCCAACGAAGCGAGTGAGTGTGGGAGTGGTTGAAAGTCAGTAAGTGTAAAAGCATGCGTCTGAGACCGGGTGAGAGTCAGATGGGCGACAAGGAAGCGGACAGGAGGCGGCGGAAGAGGGATGAGGATGAGAAAAGGAGCAAGCGGCGTGGGCCAGGACATGAAAAGAACTCCACCAAAAAAGTGCTGACAAACTTTGCGGCGCAAAGGGCCGCCAAGATTGGGGAACGCTCGTGAAGTTGTTGCGGAGTGCGAGCTTGGCATTCTGCTCCCACACGAGACAAAGGAAACAATACTATGTTCCCTCAAGCCAAACTCTGTGCTCTCATGGTTTCAATCACATTTTAATATACTCATCTTTGAGACATAAGCAGGCACAAAAACAAGCTCTCAAACTCTGTGCTCGAATGGTGTCCTTTCGTCTTCAATCCCCGCCAAGGAATCGCGGAGTAATTCTGGTGCAACGCCCCTCTTCCATTTGCCATCACGATAAGTCTCTCGCAACGGCGGGTGAGAGAGCCACAGGACTCTGCGCTCATGGACCTCCAGGAATTCCCAAACTTTGGCCGCGCTAGGTCGCGCTTCCAAAAGACCACCGGAGGACTTCCGAAACCCCGCCTGAGGAGCCTCATGCTTCCTTTTGTGAAACAGCTTGTGCGGCTTGCGAGCGTGACTGTGCATGAAGAGCCGGCCGTTGCTTTTCATCCTTGTCACGACTGTCCGCGACAAGCATCTAAAAACCCGCGCAACGCGGGGGAAAAACCCGCGCTCGCAGAAGACAAAGGCCCGCGCTCTTCCAGATTGTCGGGGGGGAAAATCAGGACGCCGTTGAAAGTGACCTGCGCCACACGCTTTCTTCGGGAAGCCCCGCAAATTCCTCTCGCGCATGGACATGCGCGAGAGAAACGCCGCCCGAAGCAACCTCCAAGCCCTTCTCCGAGCCCTTCAAGTCGCAAATGTCCGCCTGCGAAGAGTAGGCGAAAAAGCCATAAACGCCTGCTGTGCTGGGAATTTCGCGCTGGGGCTCGCCACCAAGTTCTATGATTTCCAGAGAAAACCCAAAGATATCACCATGGCCATGGCCTGAACAGTGCAGTGGGTGAGCACGTATGAGCCTCACATTGCCGAAACACCTCGATAGAGGTGGGCCATTTCTTGTTTCATGTTGGTATACTTGCTGGCAAGCTGTTCGGTGTTGCACCTCTCATTCTCCACACCTTCCTTTTGCAAACACTAAACTAAGGACGTAAGAGCACGTAAACCACGTAAGAGCACGTAAACCACGGCGCGTGCGAAGGTGAGAAGGACATAGCCTTCGGTTGCCTTCAAATTGAGCGCCCTGCACACAGCAGCCGTTAAGTCCGAATAGAGGGCCTGCAGGGCCAACACGTGGCTTTCGAAAAATGACGGGCACGACCGCCTCAGCATCGCCATGTCCTGGCAGGCGGCTGCATTGGGTCGGTCAAGGGCTTTGGCAGGAATGGCAAGGATGAATCATGACCAGAAGCGTCAAGTCCAAAACCCGACTTTCATTCTGTGGGGCCAAGGCGGAAGACACGATTGAAGCCCAAGCCACCCAAAACCCTTGAGCCAAACCAAGCAAATCGACCGGCCTGACCAACCAATCAGTGAATCAGCCAGCCAGCCAGCCAACCAGAAACATAACAAGCCACCAAGCTCAATCCAAAAACAAAACATCACCCCCCAGTCCTCCAGGTCCTTCTTCCACCGTGTGCAGCTGTCCTGGGGACTAGTCCGTGTGCCACGGTGTCAAGATGCGGGTATGAGTTTTCACAAGGGACGCTTTGGTGGACATCATTTTGGTGGGGATTCATGTCTAACAATCACTTTTGAGGTGGGTCCCTATTAAAAATCATTGCCATATTTCTTTCAATGCCTGTGACCTCTCCCGCGACTCTCTCATCCAAACAAAAAAACCTCCGTACGCCCAAAAGTGTCTGCTTGCAGCCGACGGCACGCACGAGGCCCTCGGCAGGCAACAGGGCATGCGTCACAAAGTGCTGCGCCCTGAATCCTGGAGCACGGCTCTGAGTTTCAAGCGCCAAAAGCAACACAAAAGCGTTCCAATTGTGCAGGGATCCTTACATACACCTGAACATTGCAACTTGTAAATGGTGGTTTCAACCTCTATTTGGGGGTTGAAAAAAGCAACATGTTTCAATTGGTTGCAAAATGTATCTTTTTTGGAGCCCTGTTGCGCGTAGCCAGTAGCATCTCCTCCCGAGGTGTCATTGGCCTCGTTCAAACGCGTCGCAAAAAAACCCACTCTGCTTCGAACGCCGAGCTATGGACGCTCTGCCGGCCTAGCGAGTGTGAACGTGGGAACTTTGGCTAGGCTCAAAGAGCAATCCAGCCTTCTGAGCAGCCCATAGCGGAATGTCACATGCCGCACCGACTTGAACAGCTGAAGTACGTGCTTCAGGATGTGTGAGACTTGTCAGTTCACTTGCTGATCATGTCCATGTTTGCTGATCCTCATGTTTGCCACCCCGGTCTCACTGAGCAGCCACTTGCCATCCAATCTGACGCTATTCAATATCACAAACAGGCCCAAAGAGTGATGTCTCCGCTGTTTTTTCCTGGCCCCTTTGCATTGGCATGGATCGATCGGGACTCGCCGCGGATCCTCGGCGGACAACTCGCCGCTGGGCCGCTGGGTGCAAGTAATTCACGGGCACAAGGCGGCCCGACCTAGTGCTAATGCTACAACATCTTCAAAGGGAGGCTGCAACTTGTGAAGGATGCTATTCTTCGTAACTTGTGCAGTTGCATCCCCTCTGCAAGTCAAAAGGACGGCAAATTCAGCATCCTCAAAGTAACGTGTGTGAAACAACTTCCAGAGTCCGGAGAGAGTGAGTGAGAAATTTGGCAAGGCCGCAATGTACTCTCTAGTTGGGTGTGTCTCTTTTAGGGGACCCATTTTGTGTTGGTTTTTAAAGGGAAGCCAAAGGAAAACCATTTTTTGGGAGTCCCCTCAAGAAACACGCACACACACCCAGCTGTCTTCTGGCGAGACGTACCTGCCACATCAGCCCGGCCTAGGAGGCTTAGAGCTACTCGCCTCCAGCTTGCTGATGTAGAACCTAAGCAAAGCCGCACAGCTACAACGACCAACTCTTCCTCATGAGCAGTCGAGGAGCCGTGGAGAGGTGGACAAGCTATCTGCATTGTCCGTGTCCTGCATTGCTGCATGATCGAGGCAGGCTAAACAGTCAAGGACGTGCCTCTAATTGGAAATATTCAACCTGGTGTTTCCTGAGCAAGGCTAGGCAAGAACTGCTTGGCCATACGACTTTTTTTGACCCACAGCATCCAACCACATTGTCTGCGGAGCTGGCTGAGCGGACTTTGTGAATCGCACCTAGCAAATCCGTTGGCAGATACTCATTCCCGCCATGCACACGGCGCATGCGCAAGCTGTGCAAGCTGAAGTTGGCCAACTCCATCCATGCGCACGCCACGCCTCCTGCTCCTTTGTGACCAACTCCAAAGATTCGCACGCCCTGAGTCTGGCGGGCCCGCGCCAAGCACCGGAGAAATGCGCTGCGCCTGTCGTCGCTGATGCCCTCGGCATCGTTTTGCCTGGAGAAGAGATCCAGTGGGAGACCGGCCGGTGCGATAGGTGGCCCTGAACCCAGGCTGTGGACCCCAGGGAAACCGCAACTCCCCCCCTTCCGAAGCTGAGCACCGGGGTCTCACCTTGTGCAACTGCGGGGTGCAGCATTGGCACCTAGGCTGACGGGGCGAGCCATGGTTGGCATCCTGAAACATCGGCGCCCTGCAACACTGCGGCGTTGGATCCAGTTAGGATTGTCAGAACTGGTGCCTACGCAATTTCATCCGAAACGCATGGCCTGCAGGCAGAGAGCAAATCGCCGAGCCTCAAGGAGCCAACGTTTCACTTGCACGAGCTTCAAGGGCAAGCCGAGCAAGTCAAAGTGATGCTTAGGCTCACGCAGTCGGGCAGCTCTTGCAGCACAGGTAGCTGAGCCTCACCATGCAAAATCCATGCAAAACTCATGGCAATGCCATAGTTATGTACACCCTCCCACCAAGTAGTATGGAAGTGCAAAAAGGCGCTTTCCAAAGGAAAGTAGTCTTTCTACAGGGGTCTGTGCACTTCCATGTTAGCTGGTGGGAGGGTAGTTGTCCCAAGATCTTAGGTTTTCACCAAGAGCGTCTTCCACAAACTTGCTCCTCGGCTTCGCGACGCAAGCTCTGAGCCAGAAACGCAAGTGGACTCTCCGTCCTTCAGCGTCCTGGCGTTCCTCGAGGCATCACTGGTTGGGTGGAATTTCAAGAAGCCCAAGCCTGCTCCCGCGAAGGCTGCCATCCCAAAGCTATCTCCTTGGCTGACGTTGAAGTTAAGGGTTAGCAGTTCAGTGGGGATTTCCCACTAAACCACAACAAACAAAAATGTAAAATGTTTCCCAACAACAACCATGTTCTCCTGCCACCGCCAACATGGCTATCATTATGAACTTGGCCAGGCCTTCAGTTGACGGTCGGATACTCCGTAGTCTGAGTCCTGGCTATGCTGCATGCAAGCGTGCGCATTTCTTGCTTGCAGTATCCTCAGCCCATTTCTCATCGCCAATCTCCGACCCGTCTGCCAACCTCGCGACAACTCTTCTAATTACTTGTGCCACGTCAACGACACTGGGATCCCGAACGTAGTCTCCATCCATTTGGTCATGTGACCCCGGCAGCAATCAATACATGCGGTCGGTTGGCTACGTCGCACCAGGTTGTATCCGATGCGTCTCTGCCAAGGCAATCAATGCATGTGGGGAACAACCGTCGGTTGGCTACTCGCACTGGGTCGTATCCAATGCATCTCACCCAAGGCAATCAATCCATGCGGGGAATAATGGTCGGTTGGCTACGTCTCCAATGCATCTCGATGAGGAATCCGCACGGAGAAAATTTAGTTTGTTCAATTGTTTTCATGAAACGAGTGCTCGTGGACTTCACGCTATGCCGCTTGTACATGAGCAGTAATGCCTGCGGTTGCTTGAAACAGGTCAGTGAATGAACCCTGGACTGCGCCGTATTGGTAGACTGAGCCTGCTGGGGGCCTGGTCGCCGTAGCCGCTTCTTACCACAAGTGGCACTAGCTTTGCGGCTGTCTGATTTGCAACAAACGCAGGGCCCGGACGCAATAATGGACATAGGTAAGATGGATGATAAGCCCAAGAAGGGAAAGGTAGTTAACTGCCAGATGTAAACACAAGAAAGGAAAAAAAAGGAAGACAAATGCAAAAACACAAATGCCCCTTTTGCTTGCGACTGGGAGGCTCTGTTCAAGAGCGCTGGTTCAACGCGAAAAGCCAAGGGAGCGGTCTCCGCCCTTTCCGAGCATAGTCACCTGTGCTGGGCTGTCTGCCTCTGAAACTGCCGACCCAAGCCAACGATCAATGGCGATCAATGGTCAGGCGCATCTCTGACAATGTGAGTCACATCCTCAAAACTCCATGGATCACACTGAGAGGTGGCAAGGGAGCACACGACCTGTTTTACTCCTCGGGGAGGAAAGCTGGCAAAAGGCTGCAGCCGTCATGCAGCCGTAAACGAGTTTGGCAGCGGAGTGCGGGGCCAACCAAGAATCACCGAGTAGCAGCCAAGAGAACTTTCTTGCGCTGCCCCGGGCTGTCCGAAAGCGGGTGGGCGCCGACACAAAGTCAGTGACCGCGCCTTAAGTCTGGTGCGAGTAGGGCGGCGCTTCCTGCAGGCGAGCACGCTAAGATCGCACAGGTGAACACGCTGGATGTCAAAAAGCGATACCCAAACTTCACTGTGGCATCAACCATGTAGGTGCGCGCGAGACCGCTCAACGCCGCACGGGTGGACCACGCCTCGGCCGTTTGCAACTTTGGTGAGATAGTCATGGCGCGGCTCCCACAGCCCGGTTCGAACATCCAGCGCTATGGGTTATTGGAAGCAAAAACCCAGGTCTGTTGTGGTAGTGGCTGTAGATGCGGTGGCTGAGCACTCCTCGGGCTCGGAGTAAAACATCCGGACAAACGGGAGACACTCGTTTGCCCCCGGCACGCCAAGCAGGCCCTGCAACATGGACTGGCGACTCATAGTATCGAAAGCACCGATCCCGTCGACCGAGACAATGGTCGCCTCCGGGTTGAGCTCCGCAAGGAAGTGAACAACGCTCTCAGCACCTGCCCGGCGCCCCGCCCATTGCATGCGAGGCCTTGCTCCACGTGCTACAGTCCCAGCAGGACTTAGCCCGCCAGGATGGCCGACAGCTTTCTCTGTCGGAAGGTTTGGCAGCTCGATCCGCGTTGCCACAAGGCTCTGCCGTTTTCCTTGCTTGGGCGGTCGAGCAGTGCTCTTTCCCAAATGGGTACATCCCTGCAACTGCTCAGGAAACCTTGTTGTTGCTGTTCCTCGGTGAGCGGGGGTCTGCCGAGATCGCGGCAGCGGCCGACCGTTTTCGTTCTGCACAGCCTTTCCCGGGCCGTGGAGCGCCCGCAGCACCTTCGGCACCACCTGCTCTGCCCCTCCCCACCGGCCACGCTGGGCAACCAGAGCAACCTGAGCAGCCAGCCAGCCCACGCCACCCTGGCACGCCTGTTGCGCAAGACATGCCGACGGTGCGCTCCCGCCCCTGGGTGAGCTTCTTGCAGATGCAGGAGGCGGCCCTCACCGCTAGCCGGCTGCCTGCCAGTTAGCTGCACTTCGCACAGCCGGTGGCCCCCGGGTACAAATGGCTTGTGTGCCTCCCGTGCCCGGCGGCTCCCCTTAAGCAGGGTTTTCGGGCGGATGAAGCAAGGCGATGGAGAAAAGGCGCGCGAAAAAAAAAATAAAACAAAAAAATAACTGTACAGCCGAGACGACACGATCGAAAGCCTCTGGGTACAGTCTCAGATCGCATCCGCATTGATCAGGGGATGGCGCCCCACAAGACCCCAATCGCGTGGGGCTGGGTGATGGAAGCGAAAAAGTCAGGTTTCCGCGCTCCACCTCCCACCTAACTCGGTTGCAAGCACTACAAGGCACTTGTGGGATCGGAGGAGTTCCTGATCAGCGCGTTCTTTGCTGCGGCTAGGCACGCTTGGAAACTGCTTGCGCGCCGTCGCGGCTAGGTGCCGTCTCAGACAGCGAGGGGGATGCGCGAGAGCTGGCATGGCCACTCCTTCAACCACGAGCGCTTCCACAGACATGCCGCACATCGTCCAGCAAGCGGAGGGGGGTGAGCAAGGAGACCCCTTAATGCTAGCTTTGTACGCGCTTGGCCAGCACCCAGCACTGCAGGCAGCGCACAACCATTTGCGTGAGGAAACCTTGGTAGCCTTTTTGGACGATGTCTACGCTGTAGTCCACCGGGTTGGACATGTGCATGGCACCCTGGCCCACCAGCTTGAAGCGCACTGCCACGTGCGCCTCAACGAGGGGAAGACGCGA